ACATGGTAATTGAAACAGGAACTCAGTGCAATTAATTATATCTTTTTTCATGGACAGGGTCTACAAATTTGTGTTTTTTTTTTTAAATTATAAACAGGGTACCCCACAGAATAAGGGTGATATATATTCTTGCTTGTAGGCAAAAGTTACAAGCCTTACAGCAGCATTTTGAACATGAATGATGTAAATTTTGCAAAGAAGATTTGGGGAGACCATATAATAAAGAATTGCAAAAATCAAGTTTTGAAACAATTTTCTCGAAAGAAGGTATTATTAATAAGCAGGTCACAAAAAACAGCAGAATGTTTACAATATTGTTAACAACTGTAACTGGTTATAACAACATCAAGAATGTGCTTACCATTATACGTTGCCGGCTGTTTGACATGTTGTGTGAGATTGAAGAGATTTAAAAGATGAAAAGAATAAGGAGCATAGACAGTAGAAAACTATTCAAAGAAAATAAGAAAATTAATGAAAAACATTTGACTTTCCCGTATAATAATAATATAAAGTTCTTAACAAAAGCATCATACGACATCTCGATGCTTTTTACAAAAGGATCCATACGGATATCAAGTTTGTGGAAAAAATTGCAAAAAAAGTCAGTTACTCCTGGTGAACAGGTAGTGTTTTACTGCAGATTTAAACTCTGGAACTGAACATGAGTACTTAATTGCATCAGGGAGATTGTTCCAGAGTGCCGGTGCAACCAAAGCGAAGATTCTTTTTCCAAACGTAAGGCTTTCCTATATTTGTAACCCCCAATTTAAGGATTGCAGTTCCAAGGAAAAAGTGGTTGGGTTTGAACATCCAAATAAGAAGGCAGGATTGTATTTTGAGAATTATATTCTTGAAACTTTAAGAATACTCAAATTAGTCAAATGGAATTGGGTGTTTCATGCATGTGACCATAAAGAACGCCAATTTGGTTCTTTAAAGAGCTCCTCCATCTTTGTTCCCATTCTCATAAGTGAGTACAGTGTCGTGTTAAAACGTTTTAGCAATTGTCTTTAGGAGACATATGGTATTTCGAGAAAGGATGGTGGGAGCAACTGCAACTTGTTTGTAGTCGGTCACCTACAGTTATATAAGCTCGATCATTTTAAAGTATTTTTATTCGATCAATAAAGCTTATTTGGCTTTCATTTAAGTATAGACATGGAAATCATGACGTATATTTTTTGTTATTTATCAAAATGTGTACCAACGCACGATTTTAATTGGGTGAAGTAGTCTAGGCTAATAAATGTTCGATACCCCTATTTGTTAATAATCATAATTTGTTCATATCATTATCTTTAGACGGCCTCTAAGTTTGATTGTTGTATGGAAAAGTGCAAACTTAAAATTGCAATAAGCTTTTCTTTATAAATGAACTAAAAGAAAGTGAAAATTTCAACACATTTCTATTATGCATTAAAAGCAATATAGCAATGCACTTTATCAATACTGGTCTCTT